CCCTCTAAACCGAGAAGAGGAAAACTCTGAGAGGTTTGTCCTAGTCCAGCCCGGATGAGAGTGTGATGATGCAGCCCCCTTCGCTCCTCCCTGATATTAGAGAAGAATGAAATCTGAGACACACCAGGGCGGTCCACCGATGCTCCGTTGTTGAACGTTGTCCGTATGCCAAAAGGGTTGTGGTTCGATTCTAGGTCAGGGCACCTACCTAGGTTGCGGGTTTGATCTCTGGTTGGGGTGTGTATAGGAGACAACCAATTGCTGTTCCTCTCTCATATTTCTCTCGATATTTCTTTCTCTCTCTCTTCCTTCTTGTCTCCCTAAAATCAAGAAAAATATCCTTGGGTGAGGATTTGAAAAAGAAGAAGTGGCTGTGTGGGTGTTTAGGTCCAGGCGGTGGGTGCGGAGAAGAAAAATAAAGTCCGAATAAGCAAACCCGGGGGAAAGGAAGCCTGCTCCCACCCATGAGCCCACGCCCACCTGCCCCTCGCCCTGTCGCCAGGCCACCTTTGTCCCTTCCCGCCACCTGCCAGGACGGAGAAGGTATTTCGGCTGAAAGGTTTCGCAAACACTCTCTCGCTGGGCACACATTAACCTTTTGTTTATGCTGCTCTGAGTGGCCGGGTCTGCTGACGTCCCGAGAGCTAGGCGTTGCGATTTGAAAGACGCTGTTCAAGAGTCGGAGCCCACACCCCTGGAGGCCAGACCCGGGGCGCGGGCTGGGTTCCGTGTCTCGCACGGCGTGGGCGGGAGGTGGGTGGCCGCAGAGCGTGTCTCGGCAGGAATGGAGCCAGAGCGGCTGCAGGCAGCCCCAGTGAACTCAGCCTTTCCCTGGATTCCAAGCCCACAGGCGTCACTACATTGAACTTCCTGGCCACCTGGAGTGGGAGGGGCAGAGGAGGAACCGAGCCTCGGGGGAGGGTCAGGCTGCAAACAGTGATGGACTGAGCCCCGGGCACCAGGCCCACCCGCGCCGAGCTCTGCCCCGCGCCGACCTCGCACAGCCCGGACGCGGGCGGCCAGTTTGCCTCCTGCCGGGGTGCTGCGGGCGACGTGGGCCACGGGCAGCCTCGGACAGCCTGCTAGTCCCACCGTCCAGCCTCCGTCCTCCCGCACGGACAGGCTTCTGTGTCCCGGGCCACGACTGCGGAGTCCCTCAGCTCCTTGGCAGGTTCAGGTGAGTGGGGGCTGCGGGTGGGGCCGGAGCGGGAGCCACAGCCCCCAGCCAGCGTGGTGGACCTGCCACGGGTCACCTCACGAGTCACACAGGAGCAGGCACACATGTAC